TAGTGATGAGGGAAACAGAAAAAGGATGCACAACACAGGGTAAGTAGGGGAAAAAATGAAGGTAAAAAGATCGGTTTAACAGGGAGAGAGGGAAAGAAAAAGTCTCTGCATATTTACAAACAAGTAACATGAACAGATGAAACTATGGTACAAAAGGACAAGTTTATGCACAACAGTTCTGTGGACTCTTAATGCATGAGTAACTTTATTTAACTTGAGATGTCTATGTCTGAAGTTGTCACCATAGATTCCCTCTACTGCCAATGGAGAGAAATAGGTGCTTTTAAAACATGATTCAGCTGACCTGTTTTAGTCATCTACTTCAGGATTAGATGAATCACACTCTAAAAGTGCCTATTTCTCTCCATTGATTATAAAAAGAGTCCAGGATGACAACGTCAGATGTAGATATCTCAGTTATAGATTTTTATATTTGGTCAGATGAAACCCACTATTAGAACCTATAGATTCTGACACATCTTCACTTTTTTCCATAATTTCTTATTGAAAAAACAACTAGTATGGAGAAATAGAGGAGATACACATACATTTGTATCAGGTGCAAATTACTGTAGAATGGCTAGAAAATTGACATTATGTGTGTCAAATGTTGACATTTTGATGAAAAAAAATCTACTCCCAGATATTTCAGCTGAGAAAGAAAATATTTCTATGTGGAAATACTGACATGTGGCCTCATGGGAGTGACAGGCTGGTGCTTCAGACTTCCAGCCTTCTCTACAGGGCAGAGTCTTTACCTGGACTATGTTTTCCAAGATTCAAATTCACCCTAGTTCCTTCTTGTGATCTGGTGGTGCCTCTTGGGCTCACCATGGTGATGACAAGTCACAAAAGAAGCACCTAGCCAAGCAGCCAGAACCAGCCAGAGGAGACCGGGAACATGAGATAGCCAAATTACACCTTCTGCAAGGTGTTAAAATGGCATACATTTAACAGAAGTATATGAAGTTTTGATGGAATGACAGCAAGCTAATGTTTTAAACAAACAAATGATATTTTCAAAAAAGAGAGGACAGTTTGGAATCAGTAACCCGACTTCTCAATGTTCAGACTGATTATGCAGTCTTGAAGGAAAGCTGAATTATGGTTGTACACTTATTCCTTATTTTGCTGTTGTATTTCAATACTCTTTGTAATCCCCTCACACTTTGATAGGCTTATGATCATATTTTGCATTCCTCCTTTCCCTTCCCTTCCCTTTTTCTTTTTTTTCTTTTTTCTTTTTCCTTTTTTCCTTTTCCTTTTCCTTTTCCTTTCTTTTTCTTTTTCTTTTTCTTTTTCTTTTTCTTTTTCTTTTTCTTTTTCTTTTTCTTTTTCTTTTTCTTTTTCTTTTTCTTTTTCTTTTTCTTTCTTTTTTTCTTCTTTTTCTTTTTCTTTTTCTTTTTCTTTTTCTTTTTCTTTTTTCTTTTTTTTCTTTTTTTTTCTTTTTCTTTTTCTTTTTTTTTTCCTTCCTTTTTCTTTTTCTTTATCTTGCTTCCTCTCAATCTTTATTTTTTTCTCATTCCCTCTTGTTGAGGAACTGTGGATGACATTGATAAACTTAATACTCATTTTACCAATATGTGGTGAGCAAATGATACTTCCCAGTATGGAGAAGAGCACAGGAAAACAAAAAAATTAGATCTGCTTTACAGGTTATCAAACCAAACTTGGGTGCAAAGATATGCAGAAGTTAAGTTCAGAAATATCTTTGAAGATAAAACTTATACATAACATTTCTAGAGAAAAGACCATGTTGAAATTACAGATCTGTTGAGTTGCGTTACTCATGTACATAAAATAGTAACCTTTGTGAATGGTCTAAACAAAGTTTGCTGTTCAAGAAGCCAGAGATTTTGACTTCTAATTCAAACTGGAGAGAACTGAAAGGGAAGAAAACTAATTTCAGTGTTTCCTTGACACAAAAGTTCAGATTTATGAAGGAAAAGAGTGAAGGCTGAAGAGCCTCTGAGGTTTTGAATTTCCTCCAGACAGCTCTGCTGATGATGCATTATTTGTGAATAAAACTAAGGGAGAGAAGTAGGCTACTCTTATTTTCATTTGAAATTTAAACTCATCCATTTACAACAGTATATGATACAATGTAAGTAAAATAAGACTTTAATCATATATATATATTGCACAATCAAAAACTATGATGACATCGTCAAGAATTTTTTTAAAAATTATAACATTTTAAAATCTTTCACTTTTTAAGTATGCACAGTGCTTTGCATTTGATTATAATTTCACATATTATTTATTTTTACAGATGTCATGTGCCATTTTCCAAAATATTTATTCCCTCTTTCTAAATGTCCCTAAATTCCAAAGCTGTCATAGATTTTCAGTTCAATGTCTTCCCCATAGGTGGTCCTTTAACCCAGCTATATTTTCACTCATGAGAGTGAAATCCTTTAGCAATACAGCATGAAATTCACTGTGCAGAGCAACAGTCTCATCTCAGAATTTTTAGTTGTGCTTAGGCACCGAGACTGTCCTGATCTCTGTTCTACCCATGAAGATCTCCATTTGATTTATTTTTACTCCTTTTCTGCACTTGTTTCCATTGCCTGACTCCTTACCTCTGAGGGTAATGGCTTTCTACCTACTTCCCAAATACCCATCCCAGATTCTTTTCCTAGCCTGTTCCTCTTCCCCTTCTATATCTGCTCCTCACTCTCTTTAATAAGATCTAATCTATTTAATTTGTTCCCAAGTCTTCCTTTTTTTTTTCTTTTTTCACCAGAATTTAATTTGCTGTAACCCAGCTAACAAACTTTTTGTAACTCTTAATATAATCTTCTTCATCCAGCCTTCTAATGCATCCATAACAAAAAGGTCTTGGTGACCTCTTCCCTGGCTTCCAATTATTATATAGATTTCTGTGGTCCTATATAATTATTAACCTATTAGGCAGAATTTTTAATTTCTCCTCCCAGTGCCAGTCTTTCTTTTGGTCTCACCACATTAGAGTATGGTGGCTCCCTTCCATGTCAGCAAGAAATCCTCAGTACAAAAAAGGAGAGCAAGGCTCCCTGCTCACTCTCCCCATACTACATCATAGTGGTGAGAAATAACTAATTCCCTGCAGGTTAGGGGCTGACTGACTGGGAAGCAGCTTTGCTGAAAAGGATCTAGGGAAAAGCAGACTAAACATGAGTGAGCAGGGTGCCCTGGTAGCCATGAGTCCACTCTTGGAGGCTCTCAAGACCTGACCCAACAAAGTCCTGAGCAACCTGAACTCTGAATTCAGTGTGACCTTGTTCTGAGAAGGTTGGACTAGAGACCTCTTGAAGACCCTTTCAACATACATCATTCTGTAATTCTGTGAATCCTCTGTTGAAAATGATGTCCCTCACTAGTTCCTCACTAGTCCAAGCTAGAATGGGTTTGGATTTATATCAATGTTATGCATCCTTTTATATTTCCAAGCCTTTGCTCTCAGGCGCAGAAGACATGGAACACTTCAAAGGAAAGACTGCCAGAATTTTTTCAATGTGTACAAAACAAGATTATCTCCCTGGACTCATTGTTGGATACTACTGAGTAGTTTTATCTGAAATATTTGAAAAGAGGAAAATGAAGTCTGAGGCAAAGTGAGTGTATAAAAAATGTCTGATTTTCAGACTCTTGCTGGTCAGCCACTGGTGCTACCAAAGCTGCTGTTAATCCATCATGACTACGGTGAAAGTTCAGCCCCACAGCATCAGCTAGACATCACATGTTGAAAACCAGGCAAGTTGCCAGACACTAGTTCATTTTTAGTGGGAATGCCACAGTTTGGCAAATCAAGCAGTAAACCAGAATATACTCTATTTTGTCATCTGTTCTTAATGGACTATGTTGTTTTTTTAAGTGGTTTTGTATGGAATTAATAATTCAATGTATTGCCCAGTTGTAAAAATTATGCCTGGTATTAAAAGTAATCTTATAATTGTATTTCTCCCCTCCCTCTATCCTCCCCCCCAAAAAAAGAAGTTTATCACTGACCCATTTTAAGATTTTCCTCTGAGGTGCTGTTGATATTTTCAAATAAGCACCGCTTAGCTAAGAGATGAGTGGTGACATGTAACAAAGTTAGTAGAAAATTAAGACAATGCTACACCTATTCATAAAGACACCACCAACAAGAAAAAGGAAACTGTATTTTTTCATATTTTTTAAAACAGAAAGTGGAAGATAGAGCAATGCTGATTAAGCTTGGAAGGCAGAGGTTTCTTAGAGAAAAATGCTTAATAAAAAAACCTGAGCTGTAGAACTTATTGAGCTGTAACATGATGGAAAATGGAATATCCAACCAAAAAAATGGAATATCTAACTGAAATAAAAGCTAAAATACAATAGCCTAAAGAGGTAGTTTCCTAAATGAACCCCACAAATATTGAAGAGAAAGGGAAAACGTAGGAAGATACTTGCCTGAGTGCATCTGAATGGTTATCAGACAGAGTGTTGATTAAACTTGTAAGTGATATCATAAATTATCTGTATATATGGAAGATCCTTTGGGAATCAAGAAACTGTGTGCATTCTAAGCCTGACAGTTGATGTTGACATTTTCATTTCATATTTTCTGAAGAAGTCAAAGAAAAGGTAACCAGTTTGTAACGTGTCTGGAATGGGCAGAGTTACAGCAGAAGAACCCAGATAGATCTACAGATTAACATGCACAAAATTTTCAGGTCTGGAATAGGAAACAGACTTCATTATATTAGAAAGCGGCACATGAGAAACACTTACAGAGTCCTGAAAAGAGGAGTGAAAACTGGTAAAACTATCCTCAGAAAATCTGATGGATTTATGCTAACTTGAGGTTGCCACATTGACTCTGCCATAATATTTATTCAGCTTCAAAGCAGGAAGACTCCATCAGAAAAGTCTCTATGTATGATCCTTGTTGTTTCAGCCCATTTATGTGTGAGGTGCGTGATGTCTTCTCGTGGAATTTCTGTTTGAAATATAACTCAGCAGAGTTCTGCTTATCCACACCAATATCTTACACATTACTGACTCACCTCACTCCAGAATGAAGGTTTGTTTTCAGGGTAGAAGCTGCCATAGTCCTTCCTCACTGGGAATTTCCAGGTGGCCACTGACATTGATTAGGTCTTGTAGTTCAGGAGTATTGGGGCAGAAGTAAGTGATGGCATGCTTTGCCTCAAGTAGATACTCTTCATGTAACCATTCACACCACTGCAGTTGCTAGCCAGACCACCATTTCCTGAGGCCTGGATAAAAATATTTCCTCAACCACAATGACCCTAGGGGAATAAAAAAAATAACAAAACAAAACTGAACTTTCCATACAGACCTTTTATTTTAAACAGCCAGTGTTGTATTTCTGCCAAACTTAGAAGGTGTTTTTGATTATGTAGCTTTCAACTACCACGGAATTAATATAGAAAAACTTGCGTTCTTCAGGGAGCTCTGTCATACATCTGCAAAATAAGGTTCTTTTTATGTACCTACACATTAACATTGACATCCACTCCCTCATTTAATTAACAACATTTGAATGTCATTTCTTTTCATGTAGTAATTGTATTTTTTATTCCTAAACTGATCTCTTATTTCAGATGGAGATACAATTGGAAAATGTCAAGATTTGTGCAGAAAAAAACAGTAACAATAAGAGTTTCCTTTTTTCCTTATCGTTTTTGAAACCTAAATCTGGACTTTTCTAGCAAGTTTTGAAAAAAAATATCTGATGTGGGAAATGAACCTCCACATTTTGGCTTGAGGGGAGAACTTTCTAAATTTTTTAATTTTTTTCTTTCAGTGAGTTCAAAGCTAACCTGCTGGGTCTGGGAACTTTCATGTCTTTAGGACCCTGGTAGCAACTATAAATAGTTGTGGCTGTTAATGCAGGCACGCACGCTGGAGAATCTACAGCATGTATTACATGTCTACCAAGGAGTTGAATTCCAAAGAAGAATTTAAAACTGCCTTAGTAATGCTTAACTTTAACAGCCAGATGAAAGATATATGGTGGAGGAATGCAATCCACTGTTCACTAGCTACTTAAATTTCTTTAATACAGCTGAAAAACTCATGAATATTAAAGTGAGTCCTGGGTTATGTGTTCTGGTATATAAGGTATTCCTCTTGATTCTGGTAAATGATGTCCATGCAGTTATTAAAATACATGGACGCGGTTAAAGGAGAAAGTGTGGTTAGATCACAGGGGAATGGTCAACCTGTTGGAAGGGTACCCTTTGTTCGTAACTTCATCTAAAGAACCATGAGACAATGTGTAAATAGTTGGGTTTGTTTTTTTTTTGTTTAAATCAATTTACATATGTGAAAGGCAATCCATCCATTTAGGAAACATATATGTGTGTACAGACAGAAAATATTGTGTGCTTTTTTTTTTTTACTTTACTGAAAAATTTCATCAAGTTAAATACTGTAACAGAGTTACAGCTGATAACTTTTCAGTAAGCCTAATCTTTATTAGTAATTTGTCTAGTGATTAATATATTAGTATAATTATCATACTAAGATAGCAAATGAACTTTGCAGCTGGAAGAAAAACAGAATTTTTAAGTATATCTGGGATAAGGTACCAAGACATATCTCAAAAAATCCCTTATAAAAATATATAATTTATTCTGATCACTTTTTTTCTGTAATTAGTGAAATTATTTAATTAATAAGCTTATTTTTGTGTGAGTTTTCCTACGAGTGGAAATTTCTAAATGGCAATTATAACATAACCCTTTTGAAGAAATTTGGAAAAGCAGCAGGAAGAAAGACTTGCAGCAGATATTTTTAACTAGTTGCATGCATTTAAAAGAAGAAATATAAATTCTGAATGGCTGTACGAGCAACAGGAAAATGCAAGTTATGCTGGAGGTTTATTTCCAGCTCAAATCCTGGCATTTTTGCTAGTATATATTACCTTTCTCACCAATCCCCAAATTCATTTGCCTTGAAAAGAAGACATTTTGGCTGTACCCTGAGGAAAAGCATTTTTTGATCAATTAGGTCAGAAGAAGCTTCTGTATTTTTGAAGGAAAAAAATAAGGGGGGGGGGAATGTGAAAGCATCTTACAGGTACTAGATTATCCCTTTAATGCCTCCATTAATATTAAGCAAATCCTGCAAATACAGTGTCTCGGTTTTGGAAAATATATTAATTGGGTGTATGTCAGGAGTAAAATCCAGGAACTCACTTTTAATATTTCTTAAATCAAAAGCTTCTTGTTCTTAACAGCTAACCCATTTAGATATTCCTTCCCTCTCCCCCTTCCAAAAGCCACCTCCTTCAACTGGCTGCTGCACTCCAGTGCTGCCTGTATAGGTTACCAGCAGTGAAATGTATCGCAGCCATCCACATCAGTGTTACTTCCACAAATGACTAAAAACTACACAATTTTTCTTAATGCTCAGAACCACGTTTACTACCAAACACTTCTGGAAACGGCAATTAAGTGCCGAGTTTTCTTTGGGGATCCAACCCAAAATATCATTCAAAAGCAAAAAAGGATTCTGAATGGGGTCTTTTTCTGATTTGATATAGTTTCATATAAATCACAAACGTCTAACTGAAAATAACGATATAAACTCAAGCAAAATCAGTTAATTTTATTACAGATTTTTATTACAGATAATTTATAACTCCTTTGGCTAGTAATACGTATTTTGGACATTGCTAAGTGATAATATTCTATTTACTGGTAAAGGAGGAAGTACATAACATGAGGAGACAAATCTCCTAATACCTTAAACCTGAAAATAAGTTTTCTTAAAAGTACTCCTATGAATAGACACACTTAAAATCAATGAAACTACTCGTGCATAAATTTAAGCATATGCAAAAGTACTTCAAGACAGGAGATTTAGCTCTTAATTATTTTAGGTCACTGAAAGAAATGGAGGCCACAGTTTCTCCCAGAACAGGTGACAAATCTGCTTAAAAAGGTAACGTGGACGTGGCAGAAGGAAACCATGTATAAGCAGTCTCATCCAGGAATACATAAGCAGACTGATGCTGCTGTAGAGGATCTGGCTGGGGAATGACTGATCTAGGTTTTCATATTGCAAACTATTTAGAGGAGATATCCTATACAAATTTTAGGGACAGATCAGGGACTTAAGGTAACTGCTGGATGCATAATTCACTCCAAATAATTTGTTAGACAAACCTCACATTCTTTTTCTATTTGTGAGCTGCACAAGAACAGTTTATGACTTTCTTAGATTTATTATTCAGAATTATTCCCTGAATGAAGGTGTATCATTTATGAGCACTTCACTGCAAGTGCTTGATATTCAAAATTTGGCATTCAATATTGTTATGTTGGTTAGTCAGAGCAGAACATGTTGCATGTTGTGTTTCTCTAAGTAGGTCAGAGTCAGGTTTTCCATTGTAAATCATGATATTTCAGAATTCAAAACTCACTTTCTATTCCCATTTTTTTCAGTAATCAGAAGACATCTCAAACATTCCAGTTAAAGGCACATTTGTTCAAAATTAAAATGTCATTATTTTCATAGAATTATTTTGTCCTATTATGTCTCTATTTATGTTCTATAATGTTTCTACTATGCAGCTATAACAAAAAGGTTTATCAAAATATATATCATCATTTAAAAAGAACCCCAACTAACAGGGATAATTTTGTCCAGCTGCATAATCCCCCAGCTGGCATATTGTGGAATGTCCCATGCCTTATTCATCAGTCCTAATATGTTAAGAATAAAATTTACGAAAAGTGACTCCAGTAAAGACTTGGAGCTTTGGCTATCTAAAATCAGTCAGAGGAAAAGTTTAAGAATGAAGAGAATCATTTATGTCTTGAAAGTCTTTTACTTGTATGCTCATAAAAAAATGAGAGAGATTCTGATCTTGGTCCTGCTTCTGGAGAACTACTACCCACATAATGGAGCAAAAGTTTTTATGGTTCCCTTGCTGCTGAAAATCCTATAATAAATAGAAGATTGCAAAAGCATAATTTGAAAGAAAAGGAAAAAAAAGAAAACATTTTGAAGAGTTCATAGCTCCTTTGGTTTTTTTTTGTGGCGGGATAAAATAGATGAAGACTTGAAAGTGAAATATATAGAGAAACTACACTGCTCTTAACACAAGTAATATTTAGTAATTTCTTAGCCCTGGTTTGCAGTCAGTCATCCTAACCATCTGCTCAGAACTGAACTTTTTCTTCTTCTTCAGTGTAGTTGAACTATATCAACAGAAACAATTTCTTCAGGGAGAATAAATGTACCGCTACAAACAGTTTGATGAAAGACTGAATCTTTGTATTCCTGGAAAGTAAGTCTTCCTGTAACAAGCAGCTAATGTTTGAACACGTCAAAGCAAGCCTTTTAGTACAGGAGATAAGAGCACTTGAATGTTTCTTACAAAGTGGTGACTGGCCCAAAAGAAAATGTTGTGCACGGTAATTTATTCTAGGAGTTAACATTTTCCTCGGCCTTGAAAAGAACTTTACCATGACTCAATACATTGGACTTGACTCCCACTCTTATTTGGAGGATTTGGGTCTGAAATCCAGACCAAATATACAAGCAAATATTTTATTCATACAGGCAATGTTATTGGCATAGACAGTGGTAAAATAATGGCCAGATCCATGTTAGGAATGGGTCATAAATGAATGTCAATCTGAGGTGGGGTGTTTATTCATGGTTTTAACTATGCTGTTAAATGCCACACTGCAGAAGCTTTAATGCTTATGCAACTATGTTAATCTAAAAGTACTGTTCTTGATAAAAATCCTTTTGCTTTTGGAATTGGTGAATAACATACCATCAGAAAGCCTTTATTGCTGGTATAAACTACAGCTGTGTTAGAGGGGATAGCTACAGTAACCTAGTGTCTCTATCTCAGCATGTGGCCTGTTCAAAGTCATTGTTTACGCAGACTTTCTACCATATGGAATTATCAACATTTTACTGCAAAAAAGTTCTGCTTTGTACTTCCAGAGTGAGAATAGAGCAAGAGAGATTTTGTTTTCTCTTTTTTCCTTTGGGAAAGAAAAAAAAAAAAGAAAGAAAAAGAGAGAGAAAAACAGAAAGAGGGAGAAAAACAGAAAAGAAAAAGGAAAAGGAAAACAAAAGGAAAAAGAAAAAGAAAAAGGAAAAAGAAAAGGAAAAGGAAAAGAAAAAGAAAGAGGAAAAGAAAAAGAATAAAAATAAGCAAAAGAAAAGAAAAAAAAGGGAAAAGATAATAATTGATCTCTGCCCCTAGTAATCCTCTCCTGTTAGAAATATATGTCATTATAAATATCACCATGTATAA